CTGAGTAAAACTGAAAATGCGGATATGGTATGAAGCCACCAGTGGCTGATTTTTCAAAAGCCCACCCTCATGCATCATTTAGGTAGGTGTGGTTACGATGCACAGATTTCTAAATTGACTAACAGAGTTAACGATAAGGCTGTCCGCATCGGTCTCAAGACTACGACTACAGTCAGTGGTGGGAATGGCGACTGCTACTATTTATGCTAATGTCTCCGATGAAGAATCCGCGACGGTCTTTGCAACGTCGGGTTAATTAAAGCCTTGTCCCAGCGATAGAATCATCATCTTCTTCTCAGTGTTAGGAGTGCTGACAGGCTGTTGAGGGTTTGAGGTAAGGACTGAGGCATTGAGGTTTAGGTTAGGATTACGTACACGTACGAAGCTTCCTGAAAGTCTAACGAGTTAAGGCTTAGGAGTGCCCATTGCAGACATGGCCACAGTTGGCGGTGTGTTTGTAGTTCCGTACAATTTTCTTTCAAGAAGGATGACATGCACGCTTCTTGCTGGACCGAATTATAAGGTTTATCGGGAACTTCTCAGGCAATTTAGTAGTTAAAATTTCCAAGGAAGCTTTTACAAACTAGTGTACTTCTACAGCATCACACACACGTTCGGCTTACTTTAGCGTTTGCTTGGTTATCGGCTCATATCCTTAAATCTATCATGATCCCCTTTTCATTAGTTTAAGCGGTCATCGTACATACAGTCGCTTGCCTTCTAAAATTAATTATTTGTTTTGATTAAACGAGAATTTGCGGATGGGTGATTGTTACCTCCTGCTTTTTGAGTTAACGTGTTGCAGAGCAGCTCACGAAGAAGCCCTTATAAGTAAGATTTCCGTTTGGAGTTAACCTGACATATTTTCAAAATTGAACAGCTATACGTGGCATTCTTACCCCTACAGATCATTTCTGCTCACAGGAATGTGGTTCTTTGGTCTGGTGACGTTTTGGACAGCTAGGCCGGCTGTCCTTTGTCAAAGCGAAAACCGACTTTATTGACCAACAATACAAAGTTTTGGCTGTGTGGGTTGGCCACGGGCTGATCGATTTTTCTTCTACGCTGGCTGCATGGCCCTCCGCGTGGATTTTGGCAAAACGTGACGGGAACTAGTTTTATGTTCCGTTCGCACTATAGACGATACTTGTAATGCCGCTCCTTCTTACGGTGGTTTCGTCATGGGGCCGTCTTTTTTTGCAAATCCTAGGTTCGGGTTTACCAGGTCCTGTCCTTTACTAACGTAGTGACGTAGGACTTTGTAGGCCGCGGGGAGATCCAGATGCCTGTTGACAGAGTTGGTGTCTGAGTAACATACCCAGCGTCCTACAAAGTCCTACCCCATTACGTTAGTAAGGGACAGGACCTCGTCAAACTGAACCTAGGATTTGCATACAAAGACGGCCCCGTGAGGAAACCACCGGAAGAGGGAGCAGGATTACCAGCATCCTCTACCGTGGGGACGGAACATAACACTAATTGCATCTAGTTTTGCCAAAATTCACGGGCAAGGCCGAGTTGCTAGCGTAGAAAAATCGATTGACTTATGGCCAACGCATACAGCCACAACTTTGAGTTCCTGATCGATAAAGCCGGTTCTTGCTTTAACAAAGGAGAGTCGGTTCAGCTGTCCGAAACGTCAGCAGACCGAAGAACCACAATCCGATGAGCAGAAATAATCTATGATTCTAAGCCCAAAACCTTTACTTTTTCAAACTTGGATTCTTACCTTAAGTTGAATTTATAAAAGCAGCAAACATGGATGACAAAAATGCATACTACTTAAGTAGCCATATTTTACAGAGTAGACGTTTGCCAAACAGTTAAGCGGCCAGAAGCAGGCTCGCTCAAAAGCTGGCATGCTGACGTGACTGAATATTCTTAGGCTTAGCTTGCACGATAGTCAACATTACAAACCTACTTAGATAAATTATTCGAATTAAAAACACATTCCAGAATTTGCGTTGACCTTTTATGAGATGGAGTGCTAACTGCATGCATTTTTGGCTGGAAGAATAACGCCTTAACAAGTACAATTAAGGACATAATTCACCCTCAATAATTAAAACAATCAACCTATGCTTCTAGCTGTTACAGCTTGCCCAAGGTGGAGCGGGACAAGTGGGTCCCGTTAACGGTCGATGAACACTCGTCAAAGAGTGTCAATATCTACCAA